ACACAGGTCCAGACGCGGACCACACCCGCAAACACTCGCGCAATTCCCAGGCGGACTCTCCTCACAGTCAGCGCAGGAACGCGGGAGAGGAGGCCACTGTCACCGCCGCCTTACTCCCTGTTTTCCGGCGAGGGGAGAATAGTCGATGAACCGCCCGCATCGGCGGACCTATCCTACGTCACACCCGCACCCCTCCGCACCGCATCGCTACTCCAGAACGCGGTTGCGGGAGGCTCCAACGACCCAGTTCCGCCCTACGAACCCCCTGCTGTCCCGCCTGTCGGGGGTGGAGACCCTCCAGGCTCGGATGACGGGCAACGCGCCCGCAGACGCTCCGCAGGGCGGAGACGGACCACAGCTTCAGGGCCCGGAAGTACGCCCTCCTCAGCCTGAATCGAGCCAAGGCCCCCACCCGGCGGTCCACCCGGCGGCCCTGCGGACGATGGAAATGACAGCTCGGATTCATCTGACTCCGATGCGGACGACGAACCGGACTGTTCCAGACACACTCCTCAGTCGGCTCCTCGCCGGCCTCACGCGGACCAACCGCCGCCTCGCGCGGACCATGGAGGCCGCACTCACAAGGCCGCGCGAGGGCCCCAAGGCACGACCCCCTGAGCCCTTCGATGGGGAGGACCCAGACAAACTCGACAACTTCATCACCCAGCTCACCCTCTACTTCGGGAGGTACCAGGACGGTTTCCGCGACGATGCGGACCGCGTCGCAACAGCCCTCACCTATCTCAAGGGCGACGCCTATGCCTACTTTGGCGACAAGATTGCGGCCGCCCGCGCGCGCGGAGACGCTCGAGTCCCGGATTGGTTCCAGAGCTTCCGCGCATGGAAGGACGAACTGATCCGCGTGTTTGGACCCAAGGACCCCATCAAGGACGCCACCCGCAAGCTCAAGGCGCTCAAGATGACCGGACGCGCCTACCAGTACAATCTGGCCTATCTATTTGCCTGTAGCAGATACACTCCTCAGTCGGCTCCTCGCCGGCCTCACGCGGACCAACCGCCGCCTCGCGCGGACCATGGAGGCCGCACTCACAAGGCCGCGCGAGGGCCCCAAGGCACGACCCCCTGAGCCCTTCGATGGGGAGGACCCAGACAAACTCGACAACTTCATCACCCAGCTCACCCTCTACTTTCGGAAGTATGACGTCGGTTTACGCGATTATGCGGACCGAGTCGGACCAGGCCTCACCAATCTTAAGGGCTACGCCTATGGCTACTTTGGCGATAAGATTTCTGAATGGTCTTTTTTCTGACACGCTAAAGTCCCGGATGGTCCAGAAAAAAAGGCCTTGGGTTAGGATTTTTACGCCACAATGACCTTGGGTTAGAATTTTGCAATGACATGCGGCAAGCCTTTTTCTGAGCATAAATCTGTGCCAGAAAAAAAGGCCTTGCTTTATGTTTGACAAACACTCTATCTGTATTCACCCTCGGGTTACGACTCCGAATAGCCATCTAAGAACCACTCTGTCACAAGCACTTGTTAGCGTCGGCCCGTTTGTCAGATGTGTATACTCATTTGTATCTATTTGCTTGGCCAAATAAAGAAAAGATATAAAAGGGCATGGTCAAAGGTATCGCAAACACCCCTCCCCCAAACACTATAACTCCCAGCCAAGGTATGCCCGTTACGTTGAATTTTCTGACTAAGATTCTGATTCAGAAAAAAACGAAAGATGCCTTCCCCCTATGACTGTACCCTTGAAGATTTTTGTGTTCCTCCCTCTCTCTATAGAACAAAAGAAGAGTTCAAGGAAGAAGCCAAGATAATGGGCGAGGCTCTAGTTGCAATGTTGAAGCATATAGCAAGAGACTTCAACGAAATCTATGACCAGCGTGGCCTTTCTATGAGGTTGAAACAAAAGATTCTATTCTATTTTGAACCGGAGGGGCTGGCTTTCATCCATCCGGTCACCTAAGTATCTGTTCAGTTATTTTGGGGCCACATTCACCTTTGCCTTACCCCATTTGATATGATCGATCTGCAGATCTGTGATGCGCGTCAGGAATATGGGCCTCTGCCAAGAACATATGGGTGGCGATCATTTACCTGTCGCAAATTCTGGGTGCTGTCTACTGGAGCCGTCTTAGGCCATCATTTACATATGGGTGGCGATCATTTACCTGTCGCAAATTCTGGGTGCTGTCTACTGGAGCCGTCTTAGGCCATCATTTACATATGGGTGGCCATTTGATATGATCGATATGCAGATCTGTGATGCGCGTCAGGAATATGGGCCTCTGCCAAGAACATATGGGTGGCGATCATTTACCTGTCGCAAATTCTGGGTGCTGTCTACTGGAGCCGTCTTAGGCCATCATTTACATATGGGTGGCGATCATTTACCTGTCGCAAATTCTGGGTGCTGTCGACTGCTGCTGTCCATCATCTTTAGATGGCCATGTTAACATATGGGTGGCCATCATTTACCTGTCACAAATTATGGGTGCCGTTGACTGGGTGCTGTCCATCAGTTTTGATCGACTTCTCATTTTAACAGCAGTTAAGCCACATGTGGGCCCCTGCATTTCGGTCGCCGTGTTTTCCCTGTCAAGAATTATGGGT